TCATTCTCACTGAATGACTCAAAAAATGAGATAGACTAATTAAGTGAGAAGTTGGGCCATTACAGGGAGGACATGAAGCATTAAATTCCATCACCTATTGTTATTCAATTAAATATAACGATAATTAACTACTAATTTTGCTCATGCTAAAGATTTCTGATAGAGAGATCATTGTTTAGTGCGATGGTAACAACTTTAACCTAAGCTCTTCCTTATCTATAATGATCTAACCCAAACAGAGCCAAAAATCCAAACACTAACTCTGCTTATTCCAAATCCTTTATTGCAAACACAACCTAAAAAGTTTTAACCATCGCTGACACCCAGACATGAACTGCATTTCTTGAAATTCCTCTACCCATTTCGATATAAAATATAGGGGGAGAAAATTATGGCATATAAGCATTTAAAAACTTTATAGTGTTGTTATGCTGCACTCATGGTTCTTGTAGACATATAAAACTAATTACTTGAACAATTATATCTATTTAGAAATCTACAAAAAAATTATGCGAGTGTCATATTATGACAGCTTAGTAAATGTATTCGTACTTTCTTAATAGGAGATTACAGTTGTTAATGACCCTTTTAACACATTCTTATTAAAACTATGTAATTAGATGGATATCAATGCTGACAATGTGGTGGGAGAAGAAATAGAGGACTTTACAGACAATACCGATGATGGAAAACTAGTATGGGATGATTCTCATCTTGAAACTTTCATCATCTGTATGGAAGAAGAAGTGAAGGCTGGTAATCGGAATAACATAACTTTTTAGTCCAAATGGTTGGAAGAATATACGAAAAGGCATGACGGTCCGTACAGGTAAGAACCATGTACCGAAATAACTTAAGAGCAAATTCAACCACATGAGGGTAGACTGCAAAGCCTTTGTGAGTTTGTTAGGAGAACAGGCGTGGGATACAATGCTGAGACGGGCATGGTTATAGTTGAAAATGAAAGATGGACTAGATTGATCAAGGTTAGTTATTCAAATAAATGTATGTTGATTTTACAAAAAAGTATACTTAACTAATATTAATAGTAATTTAATAATTTGTAGGTGAATGCTCAATATGGTAAGTATCGAAAGAAGCCATGCAATCATTTTGACAAGCACACTACCATATTTGGAGACACATACGCTACAGGTGCACATGTCCATACTTCCTACAGTCCACCCATTCTCAACCAAGCCCCCGTACACCATGAAGGCACACATACCTCATTTGACCTTAATGATGATTTTGCTGAGTTAGGTCGTCATGAGTTCACTCCTTCTCCTGAACCTCGTGGTAAGAAACGAAAAAGAGAGAGTTTTGCCTCCATATTGGATCGTGTCATGGAAAAAATGAGTGACACTTATAGAGAGAAAACATATCGAATTGAAAGGGCCATGGTCACTTCTTCATCATCTAATATGAAAACAGTTCATGAAGTTGGGCAGGTTGAAGTCAATAATCCAGATAAGATAAAAGGTGATTTTAAATTATGTTGTTATATTTTGAATAAGTTGGAGGGCGTTGATATGAAACAATATGCTAAGGTCACCCAGATGTTACGTAATGATGAAGTTTGGAGGGATTTATTTCTTAATGACCTTCCTGATGATAAGAGGGTTGGTTGGATCAATGGAATTTGATTTGGTATGTTGGTTTTATTATGATTTTGGATGACTATACTAGTACGTTTTTATGACTTTTGGTGTGTCACTTTTATTTCTTATTTGGTTTTGCAATTACTTTGGTTGATTGTAATATTAAGTATACTCGTATTTATGTTATTTAGTTTTATTGTAATGACAATATAACTATTTCACTTGCTTTGATTTTATTTGTTGTCTTGCTTTTATTTATTATTTGGTATTTTGCTTGAGATAATTGTAATTTATCTCGTTTATTAAATGTTGTATTATACAGATGGATATTAGGACAATAATCGACTTGTATGATGATGGTGATGAGGAGAATGATTGTGTCATCATAATGGCATGTGTGTTGGACTATTATAAGAAACATTACGAGAAACGACCTTGTAGGGATTCTCTTTTAACCGGGGAAGCATATATAATGGAGATCTTGCATGGGCATGGAAGTAGATGTTTCAAAAATTTCAGGATGTCTACCTCTGTTTTTTTGAAGTTGTGTGGAGAGCTTAAGTCATTAGGGTTGAAAGACTCTACAGGGGTAAGTATTTATGAACAAGTTGGCATATTTTTGCTTACTTTAGCTCATAATGAAATGAATCGTGTGGTCGTAGAAAGATTTCAACACTCTACCTATACAATTTCAAAATACTTCCATGCGGTTTTACAAAAAGTCTGTGATTTAGGGAAACAGATTATTGTCACCCCAGATTTTAGCCAAGTTCCTAACCATATGAAGAAGTGAAAAAAGTACTACCCTTTTTTTAAGAATTGTGTAGGGGCAATTGATGGAACTCATGTCCATGCGAACGTGCCTGTGGACCAGCAAATACCATTTCGTGGTAGGAAGGGGGATGCCACACAAAATGTAATGGCTGTTTGTGATTTTGATATGATGTTCACGTACGTCGTAACAGAAGGTGAATGTCATACTTGCTATAATTTTGCAATACTTATTTAAAATATCATGGTAAAAAAACGTGCCTTATAGTTTGTAAAATGGCAGGGAAATATTATTTGGTGGACTCCGGGTATGTCAATCAACCGGGTTTCTTGGCTCCCTACAGGGGCCAACGGTACCACTTCCAAGAGTACCGTAGAGCTTCTCGGCAACCCCAAGGTAGAGAAAAAATATATTGCGCAATATAATTGAGCGTTGTTTTGGGATGCTTAAGATAAGATTCCCCATCTTGAAGCAAATGCCCCTATATAGGTTTGAAGCTCAAGTTGCTATTGTTTTAGCTTGCTGCACACTTCATAACTTTATAAGAAAGGAGGCGCATGTAGATCCAATATTTAATGATGCAACTATGGAGGCGATGATAGATGAAATTTTTGGAGATGATGATGTTGATGTTCAGCCTAATGCGTCGCATTCTCGCTCGCGACCAATGAGTATTGTACGCGATCATATTGCTGATACTATATGAAATGCAAGTCAGCACCCTTGAAATATGATTTACATGTTTATCATGTTTGGATAACTGTAATAAGCTTTTTAAACTTGTTCCATTTGTTAGTATTTGGATAATTGTAACAACTACTTTATTTTAATTATTTGTTAGGATTTGGATAACTGTAATAACTACTTTATTTTAACATTATTTTACGATTTCGATAAATGATTCTCTTTATATTTTTTATTAACTTCTTTGGCTCAGTTTAATAACTTGTATATGCAATCATGTATAAGATACAGGGTGACGGGCCACCTTGTGCATGTGGAAGGGGTCGAATGAATCTTTATACTGCTGGAACTTCTAAGAATTATAGACGTTTATTCTATAGATGTCCAGCTTGGGAGGTATACAATTTTCTTTGTATTAATAAGAATATTTTAACTATATCTTAGTGTTACAAGTGCATTTTAGTAATGTACAACTCTTTGTTCTAATTTAGTCATATGATCGTGCATTTATATAGTTGGATGACATGCACCAACATCTGCAAGTGGGTGGTCATGTGTAGGAAGAGTTGGAGGATGTGTTGCTGTTATGCAAGCTTAACAAAATCGGTAAAACTACATTATATATGGATGTTGTTGTTGTCTTACTATAACTATATTCTTGTTATTTTTGCTCATGTTGTTGTTGTTGATTATTGCGGCTGTTGAGAAATGATACAATATATTAGTTTAATTTTATTTCATGAACTTTTATTGTGCCTGTTGACCAATGCTGTAATATTTTTGAAACTCATGTATGTAATAAATTAAAATTCATGAAATGTGTAATATATTGAAACTTTATTTCAGTTCCATATTGAAATAATGTATGGGACAACTGTCAAAATAATATGCAGCATTAATAGGTTTTGCATTTTATAATTTATTTTAATGATTTTTATAATAAACTAAGATAAATGGAGAAACAATATATATATATATATATATATTAAAAGTTATATCAATTATATATTAAAATTATACAATAATTAATTTTAACTTTATACTTAATACAGTTAGAAAAAATGTATTCAAGAAAATATTATTTAAAAACATTATTAATCCAACATATTTAATTATTTTATTTTTCTACTGATTTTGGTTACACTTTCAGTCTTCCAAACATGTTTTGTTCTCATATTTCTTAGAATAATATATATTACCAAATATGTTCTACCATGTTTTTGTTTCAAAATTCTCAGAGCAAATTTTCGTCACCAAACATGTTTTGTTCTCATTTCAGAATATCACACTACAAAACACTTGTTCTGTTCTAGGCTAGAGTATTACACTACATCACACTACACTTCCCAAACCGGCCCTTGGTCTCGATTGTTGGGCTGATTCAACGCTTGAGTGTCTCTTCAGGCCTTCTGGTTGGTTGTTGTGACATGGGCCTCCTCCTTCGGCCCAGTTTTTTGGACTCGCTTCTTGCTTGATTTATTAACATGTGACCTCTTACTAACGACGTTTCTACATTCTTATTATTATTATTATTATTATTTTTTTGTCTGGCAAGAAATTCATCTGCGTTACTATTTTGGAGTCCCACTCAGCTAAAGGGAGATACCCTCTAAATTATATTTTAAAAGATATAAAAACAGAGTGACCAAAACTTTGGTGGAAAGAAATAATTTTAAAATTAAAAAAAGGAGTGCATTTTTAAAGAATTAAAAAAAAAAAAATTCATGCGACTCACCTATTCGCATGGGATAAAGGCCAGGAGGAGTAAAAAAAAAAAATTAAAGAAAAAAAAGGAAGAAGGGAAAAAGAAAAAGAAAAAAAAAAACAGGGGTAATAGATACGGTAATAGATACGAGGAAGTGTTGGCCAATTAGGGGGACTAAAAATGGACTAAAAATGGGCTATAGAGGAGGTGTTTGGTAACAGGAGATAAGGTGCACCAGAAATAATCATAATCCATGATAAACCAAACACCCAATTGCTTGAAGTACTTCCAGCGAAAACTTTCCGTGGCACCAGCTTTATCCTCTCTCTCTCTTTCTCTCAAACCGTACACCCATGTCGAGAGGAACGGACCGTCTGCTGAAGAGCGCGAAGCAATTCGCAGACATTCAGTACAAGCTCTTCACTCGGCGTTATGGCCAACAATTGATAGACATTTTTGAGTTCCCAATAAAGTTCGTGTTGTCTCCTTTCACTCTCGCATTTGACATTGCCGGCTCAGCTCCGCGTGGGTTCGGCGTGCCCGAGTTCATCTCTAAGCTCTCATATTCTGCAATCTTTGTAAGTTCTTGTATCATTATTTTATCTCTTGTCACAGTTGTATGTATGTGGGAATTCGTTAATTTGAAGAATTTGTAGTTGTTTTCATTGATACACATCATTTGCTTAACTGGGTCAGCATTTGTTTCTTCATTTTGTTAGTAGGATGTATATATATATTGATCTTATGTCAACCCTGGTAATTTTGGTTTAATTTGCATATGTATCGCTATGAGTAACAGGTTGAATTAGATGACCTTTTGTTATTTGGTGAAATGGTTAACCAAGTGTTTGTTTATTTTTAAAGTTCTGGTTGAACTGCGGCAGGATTGTTTAAGTGGGTCATTTGAATGATACTAGTTAATTTGTTAGTGTGGGTCACCAGATGTTTGTTTGTTTGTCTCCGAACCTTTATCTCATTCCGATTGTTTGTGAAGATTGGCATTGAACTAATCTGAAATTTTTGTTGAAGTGATAGTGCTCTGTTTACTTGCTAATAACTGGTTTGTGGAGTTCACTTATACCAATTTCACTACGCTTGAAAATGAATCGGACAAGTCCAGCAAATCACAATAATACGTCCTTGTAGTGGCCATTTAGGTTCATTAGAATTAAAATCCTATGAATTTCACCATTGCTTGATGTAAATAGTGGTAAAAGCCTGAGCTGAGCAGTGCAAGGACACGTGTTTGAGTTTAAGAACAACCACTTCACGTACAGATAATCCTAAAATTAGGTCTGCCTACAGTCTTTTCCTCCTGGTACTTATGTGGCAGGACCAACAGTGGAGAGTGACCTAATTTAGACAATTGCATCCTACAATTGTACTCTCGCATTATGCATTGTGGTACTCTCGCATTATGCATTGTGGTAGTTGGTAATGAGAGAGTGCATGTGATATGATATCCATTTATGTTCTTGCTAGCATCTTTGATACTAACGTATAATTCTAAATACTCTTGCTTCTTTCATTGGTTGATTGCAGGCTGTTGCTACTCTTGGGACTTATGATATCACATTTGAGCTGGCAAAGAAGGTGCTATGTCAGAGGTGCTTTTAATATCCCAGCTTGTCTGTGGTTTATTTTCCTGATACTATATGATTGATATGTATTCGTCATTACCTATAATGATAAATGGGATGTGTTGATCTCTTGAACTTTGATCAACATCTTGTCTTGATTGTCTTATACATGATGCACTATGTGATCAAGAGATCCCAACCACTGAAATTACTTGGCATTTATGAAATCTTGACTACATGGATTAAAGTTTCTTCCCCCTGGGTAAGTCTCATTAAAGTGGCAGATGGTTTCCATCAGATGCCTGATGTTGCTATGAATATTTGAAATGATTCTGGAAAATTTTATGCTGGCTGTCATTTGAAGAAAGAACATTGTCGTACTGTAATGCTGTGTTTTTTATTTTTTTTATTTATAATTATTATATTGAGCTTGTAAAATGATCTTTTCAACACGAATTTCCACTTTTGGTCAGAAGATGCTGTATCTGTTTGTTATATACTGTTTTATGTTCTAGTCAACAATTTTGAAATTATGCTTGTTATCACTTAAAGCGTGAAAGTAAAGAAGATATTTTGTCTGGTTTTTTTTTTTTTTTTTTTTTTGGTGGCCAAATTCTCTCTCATGAATTAGAAAACATAAATTAAAATTTAGTGGAATCAGATTAAAATTTCTCAAATTAGAGGCATTACGAGCTATTCGAACGAAAAACAACTTATATGTTTTACCGTTTAAATTTATCCTGGTGCCTTTTGAAGGTAACAAAATTTGGCTGAAGTTAAATGATTCTTACAAGAGTCAGAATTTGATTGCAGGGATTGTAAGACTTGCAATGGATGGCAGGCATTGCAGTGTACTATGTGCAAAGGCTCAGGAAAGGTGCAGTACCAAGTGAAAAATTGTACTTTGAAAAGGTAGATTCATCTCCAACATTTTTTTTCCCTCAAAACATATAGTACTGGATGTCATTATATATTGTGTTGTGGCCTGAATTTGGTGCCAGGTCGTGTTGCAACCCGAATTTTTGACCCATTTTGCTCATGGGTCGTGGACCCTAATTAGTACTCTCTTGTAGCCCAATATATATGGGCGCTTAGGGTTTGGAGTGGGATCATCAAGAGACACTGAAAATTGTATAGAGAGAGGATAGGGTAATTTTCGATTTCACACATAGTGAAGACGTTCTCCAGATCTCCACCGTGGACATAGGCTTTGCCGAACCACGTACAAATCTGTGTGTTCTTTGTGTGTTGTGTTTCGTAATTGTTGCTTAGTTCGTTGTGTTTGTCATAACATATATATATTATTTATTTATTTATTTTTATTTTTTATTTTTAAAGGGCGTGTGTGTGTGTGTGCTGAATGTACTTGGATGCATAGAGAGAAAGGTCTAGGATGTCCCCAAAACATTGAAGGTTTGAACACACGTTGAGTTGCAGAATCTTTTCTTGCTACCATGATAGCAATTAAAGCTTATTAGCTACGATTTCCAGGAAGTCAGGCCCACGAAATCGTGAGATATTTAGGTTGCAAAGTGAACTCAAGTTGATTGTAATATTCATTAGCATGGGAAATATTGCATTTTTATAGAAGTTTGATTAGTTCATCCCAGAAAGTAAAGTTCATTTCCTAATTCTATTGTTCAGAAAGGTGAGTGCCTTCCCATGCGTTCTTCTTGCAGCTTATGCGGATACCATTCGGTTTTATAGATGATTCTTGTTGAGTAACTAAAAATGATTTGAAATGAAATCCCTGCAGTCTTGTATAAAAATTGTCCTTATCGTTTAGTGGGACTGTTACAAAGAAATTAATAACAATTTGGAAACCAGATAAAATGCCTATATGAACTTTTAAAACTGGTATTGTCCCCATGTATGGTGGTTGATCTGATGTAGCTTGTTTTGCCTAACTCCTTGATCTACTACTGTAATTGTCCTCATCATTATCCTTGTTTTTGTCATTGTCATCACCATTTAATTGTTTCATAAAAGCCTCATTCCAATTATTTCAAATGCTACATTATTTTTATTTTTTAAAATTTAATTTTATATAACTGTTGATAAATTCTTCTGCAGTGGAGAGAAGGCAACAGCTGAATGTGTTGCAGATGCAATCACTGCGAATCGAGCTGAGTTGGTGCACCTTCCTTCCGGCATGGATCTTCATTTGCCATTGCCATCTAAAGACTGTCCAAGTTGTGATGGAACGGTGAGATTTAGTATACTGTGCTTTGGCCCAGACCTGGTCTGCAGTCTCGGGTGGTTTTCAGTCTTTCAGGTCTTAGGTTGGGACTTGTGCCAGGACAAATTGGGCACATATACATTCTGTTAAACTGTATTTTAAAACCTTTTACTAATTAAATATATATATATATATATATAGTTTTTTTTTTTTTTTGGGGGGGGGGGGGGGGGGGGGGGTAATTATGGAGTGTGAGAGTCCTTTTAGAGGACAATTGGGTCATTGAGTTCTTTGGAACAAGCAAGTGGAGTGTGAGAGTCCTTTTGTGGAGTTCTAATATAATTTCATTTTTTCAAAATGTACATGTATTACACTTACCAAAAAAAAAAAAAAAAATGTACATGTATTATGGGAAATCTAAATATGAAAAGATTATACTTAATACCTATAGAAAATATAAATATACACACACATACACATACACATACACATACACATACACATACATTTTACGTACATATGCCTATGCAGATATATATTGATACACATACATATAATGTGTATGTCTACATATGTATGTGCATGTGTTTAAATGTATATATTAAGTATTTGTGTGCATACTCAACTCAACTCAAAAATAACCTTTTCCAACTAGTTAGGGTCGGCTAATATGTGGCCTGCCCTAATACCAATCAGGTTGGACCAGGCCAAACCTGATGGGCATAACATTTTGGATATATAGCTTCGGGCTTTTCTACAATCCTTAGTTCAGATAGTGATTTGATCTTGTAATGACTTGCATGCCAAGTAAAAGTTGTAGTCAATGCACATTCAGTGGTGATACTTGGCTTATGTTCTAGGTTCTGCTTGTTTTTGTAATGGTTCATACCTATTTACTTCACTTTTAGCCTAAGGTTCACAAAATTTATTATTATTATTTTATGAAATCCCTTAGTAATGCAGGGTGTGATGGGATGTCCCGAATGCAAACACAAGCTAAAAATCAGAATCTCTGCAGATGATGTGAGTCCCATCGTGAATTTCCATATATTTTCTTAAAATTCTCTTGTTGATTTACTATACGTCCATATTAATGTGGTCAACTTATTTTTGTTTCCATGTGATACGTAGAGCATAGAGCGTGCACTTCTGTGCCGTAAAATGTGTGAAACAAGTATTGATATTAAATTACTGCACCGTCTTTCATTTAAAAATGTGGAACTTGGGTGGTGTTTGTGGATTTGTGATTTTTAAGGTGTCATCCTTGTGGTGCTAAAGCTAAACGTATGGCTTTTACGAAATATTTTACAAGATATCCGTAAAAGAGTTGAGATGAATAATTGGACTTAGAAACGATGATATTAGTAGAATTTTGGGGAGGATTTCACCATAATGGCCATGAACAGTTGCTCCTGGGGTAGCCAAATAAAGCTTAGCTGATCGTATTACTAAAGAGTTAGTTTGAACAATTATAACTTGACCCGATTTTAGGTGGCGCGTTTATGGCTTATACATACCGATTCTTGAGCAGCCTTAATTGAAGATGATGAAGGTAAGGTATATAGTTCAATAAATGTAAAAGATAGAGCACATGTGAATCTGGTTTGAACATGTTACAGAAAAATATGATCTATGAATGGATAAGTTTGAATAGTGGGGAGTTAGATCTCCTCTAATACGTTCTGAATATCTGCAATATTTTTTTATTTTATTTGTAGACACACTTAATTTGGGCCCTATAAGCTTATGTTTAGTATTTGTTTTATAGTTATGGTGAAGTGGTTATATCCTCCTGGGATTTGAGTCATGAAACAAATAGTTAATATCTTTTTTTCTTTTTCCCAGAACTTGATCAATCCTTGATTGATACGAAATCAACATGGCAAAGGTGCTTCTATTCATATATTAAGTGTGATGCTGACTTTATGAGTAAACTGTCCAAGGAAAAAAAATGCGTACTTTAGGAATTAGTTTGGACTGGTCAGATTGTTCTTGACTGGTTGATATTACTCTCCAGGTTCTGGAGGTCAGTGATACTAGCCAGAGCTATAAGTTTCGTATAGTGCCCTTTATTTTGATTGGACATAATGTGATTATCCAATAAACAGAGTCTTGAATAATCCTGGAGTTAGCCTTGTGTCATTATATGAGTTCCTTTTTTCTCTTCTTAATTTTTGTAATACTTTTTGCTTTAATTTCTTTTTTCTCTCTTGTTGGTCTAATTGTTGCAATGCTTTCATCTTTACATCATCCTTTCATTTTTGCAGATCATGGAGCCTCCATGGAAAGCCTATAATGTATTGAGAAAGATGGATTACCCTTACGAGGCTAGTACCTTGTCTCTTCCTCTCCCATCCATTATTTATACTGAGAATATATTGAAATACTTGTTGGTTGCTCTTGTTTAAAATTTGGAACATCATGCAGCCTTAATACTCCAATTTTTTTTTTTTCCCCTTACTGTTGAAGATGCATTGCGTATTATTACAATGTAGTACCTGTAGATTTTATGCGCAAAGCCTTAGCCTCCCAATTAAATATTAAATTGAGGTGCCTGTTTTTACTTTAAAAACTGTTTCCAACTGAATTAAAAATTGAGGTGCCTATTTAGTTATGTCATTTCAAAATTAATTATGAAATTTTAGATACCTATAAATTTTCCGTTATACAAATTTAACTACTTAATTCAGATTATTAATTTCTTTACTGAAAATTTCCACTGCATAAGTTTCAGTTTTATCATAAGCACCTTAGTGTGTTTACTAATGAATATTTTGGTTGCTCTCCTGCTTCAATAATAGATTTTCTGTCTGATATGGACACTATAAAATGTTTTAAATGTATCAAAGAACTTCTCCCTGATGTAATGGGGCAGTAACATATTCTCGAAATTATATTTCTCCAGCACAGCTTAATAACTAATTAATAAGGTGAGATGAATATAAAGAGTCCGCATATAACACGTAAACACACTGCAACTTTGGATACATACATTTAATTCTTTTAAACAAAGGATTCTTTGACTCAAACTGAGTTAAACTGCTGGTAGAATGGACTAGCCTTTCTGACCTTTGTTGTCCTTTCGGATTCTTAAACATTTGTTTGGACTTCCTTGTGAAGGTTTTGCAACTGCTTCGTAGATGGTTCTGTAGTTGCCATAGTCTCTGGAGAGATCGTTTGTTTGGAAAAGTTAGTTATTACAGCAGTTAATTATAATGTACCAACTTAAGAAGAGGAATGCTAAATTTTTTTAAGGACTATCTCATCCAGGGTCGGGGCATAACTTTTTCTGTTTATTTATGTATTTATTTTTTTTGTTTGCCCCTTTTATGCTTTCCATTCAATTTTTTCTTTGTTATTGTATTATCTTTGAAAGGAACTCCTCTCTCTCAAAAAGATTTCTATGGATGTTACTGTTATAATTTTTTATTCAGTAAACAAGTGGTTCTTAAATATTGTTCACGTGCTTATGATTTAGTTCGCACATTGTAGCATTATTAGTATATTTATTTTTGATCTTGTCTACTCTTTCAGCGTATTGTTCACAGCATGAAAGATCCCAGCATTGCTGCATTTTGGTTGATTACAATGCCTCAGATTGTGGGAGGATTCGACTTTGATGATGATGTCAAGCAGAAAATTTGGTGGCAGTACAAGGTCTCTCTTCGATTTTGCTTCCTTATTTTCTCAGTTCTTTAGGCAGGCATGTCTGCTGTACAGTGGTGGTTCTTGAGTAGAGGAGGTAATACCCATAGGAACTGAAAGCTCTATGGGCTTGACCCAAATAAGAGCAGGGCAGTTTGGTAGAAGTGCATGGTTTATGGTATTTGCAGTAGATCGACCCAAGGGCATGTTTTTATACTTATTACCCAAAGACTGGCTCATTGTTTTGTGCTGCCTGCCTGACCATTATATAGAACACTTGGGGTTATAAATGACAAATAGGCTACGAATTTAGAACCAATTACAATGCACTTGAAATTGCGAACCAGTGGGGCCATCACTGGGCATGCAAGCACGAGTCAGGCAAGCAGTAATGGGCAATCTGTCATTAGGTCCATGAGAGACGCTGTTCAACCCATGTGCCATAGCTATGATGCCACATTATCATTGTATTTTGGTTCGGTAGAGACTTGACACAAATCTTGCCAACCCAAATTCTTGGGGCGAGACCACATCAACAAGCTCCAGAGCTCAAGCAACCACTCTAACACCTTTGAAATTCCCTGAGCCATCTTTGTGCATGTCATGGATTAGACAAACATTAAGCTTATTCTCTTGGTCCCAAGAGCCCTGACTCTTCTGACCTGGGTTCTCCGCTTCTTGGAGATGGGTGGAACCATTGCTCATCTCTGCTTTGTTCTTTGGCTATTGTCTTTATGCCACGTTGGCTATTTAGCGAGATTTCTGGGGGTAAATTTACTATCTACACTGTTATTTCTATAGATTGTTAACTGAGTGCAGCACCTATGATTGTTGAGTCAGTTATGTCAGACCTTTGCAATTTTGAATTGTATCTGTGAGCAAGTAACGGTACATGACACAATCAATGAACTCGTTTTTCTTTAACTGATCATGTGTAAATTTCACCCAAAACTGTAATGAATACTGACGCGGTATCACCTAAACAGACTTGAAATCTGGTCTGAAGAAAGTGGAACCTGCTCAATATTGACTGGGTTAAGTTATAACTGAATGATTTTTAATTAGTCTTGGCAAGCAATCTACAAGTCTGCAAGGCACGTGAAAAAGAAAAATTATGAACCTCCTGGCCTACAAGGAATGGAGAGTTCACTTTTTGGCTGTATTTCTACCGGGAAAGTTGGAGTAATTTGTTATTTATTTATTTTTTCTAATCAATAAATATTTATTCTATTGATATTTTATAGTCTTTTTTCCCCTCCTCAAACACGTGTTCTTGAAAACATCTCATGTCTTAATTTTCTTAGTATGTATGTGAGCTCATATTTGTAACTCTTTTCTCTGAACAAGTTATACTATGTTCTTTATGTGAGAGGGAAAAAATCTATTACTCAGTCTGGATAGTCCATTTTTTAGGATTTTACATGTTAGAATGGTTGGTTTGCTACTGAAATCTTATCACATGCAAGAATATCAGTTGCGTGCTTGCAAGCAAGTGCATATTTGTGTCTCTTAATGTCAAACCAGCTGTACTATTTCTCTAAAATAAGAAAATATCTACATTTATGGTTCACGTGGTCCATGGTCTAAGATCAAGACATATCTTTCTAGAATCAAGACATAGAAGTACATTTTTCATGATCCTAAATGATGGATCAGCTACTTTTTACACTATAAAGATTAGGCCTGTGAACTGGTTGCCGAAATATTATCACAATGAGGATGTGAGTGCTGTAAGCTGTTCTTGGGCCGCAAAACACCTTGTGGCATTGAATTGCATAATGTCTCTTTCTGGTTTGGTAATTTGCAACTTTATGGTCTGTTCAATAGCCTTTCATCATATGCTTGCTATAATGGCTTTTAATCAGTTCAATTTCAATTGGTTTAGGAGTCTATGCGGTATGATCAACTCCGAGATTTGGTGACCAAAAGACCACCTGGTTGGGAGTACTTGCAGGAAGTAAGATTCAATATTTTATCTTATCATGTATACTTCTTATATATATTCAAACAAATGTTGAATCATAGTGGACAGATAATTGAATTTTTGTTGTTTTTTGCTTTATATTTCTTATTTTGCTTCTTTTATTCTCTCTCTCTCTCCCCTTCCTGAAATCTATATATTTTATCTTTAGCTCTTGAGAATTCTGAAGCATATACCAGTAGTTGTTCAACTCAAAAGCACGAAACCATCTTTAAGCACCTTTCTTAATATCTGGAAAATAGTAATCCTATTCTGTTGAAGGTATTAAGTTTTATGTACATTTGTACAATGGAAAATCAAAAGGAAGTCAATTGAAGTCTTTTCCTTTCAATTGGGATAATATTTTGATTTAGGTGAACAATATAGTTTGACATGTTGAGGAAGTTCAGCGCTGTGGTAGAATTTTGTGATGCTATGCTCCTGTCAATCACTTCTCTCTCACATGCGCGCGCACTGACGCGCACACCTATATAAAATCTATATGTGGCTGGAATTTGAAGCTCTTCAATATATCACAAAGTCTTCTGTCATGGAAAAGACGGTTTGCGGTTTTCCTTTTGGAAGGCCACCTACCATATTCCTCTCCATCCACTCGTTTTGAGGACTGCACTGAAGTTGGATAGAGATTCTCATGTATCATTATTAAATTGAATGAGTCTCTCTTCTTATCCTTAGTTCTCCTCTTTCTTGTCAGCATTCAATTTCTTATTATCTGATTGAATGGGCTTTGCAAGGGTGGCTGATCTCCTTAAGTATGAGATGATTTTTGGATTTAAGATTCCAAAATTGTGATGACCTTGTGGGCGAGTGTGCCGTGGGCGGGTACGAGAGACACTGTCAGGCTACCACACTGGCGAGTCTGCCGTGGGCGGGTACGAGAGACACTGTCAGGCTACCACACTGGCGAGTTACGGGTGCACAGTCCCACATCGCCTGGGTAGAGGAAAGGTGAAGTGCTTATATGTAAGTGTGTCATCTCCAATTGGTATGAGGCCTTTTGGGGTGATGCCTAAGAGCAAAACCGTGCGGGCTCAGGCCCAAAGCGGACAATATCATACCATGTGGTGGAGTGGGTCGTTACAAATGGTATCAGAGCCTGACCCAGCCGGAAGTGTGCCGACGGGGACGTCGGATCTCCAAGGGGGGTGGATTGTGATGACCTTGTGGGCGAGTGTGCCGTGGGCGGGTACGAGAGGCTTCGGGTGCACAGTCCCACATCGCCTGGGTAGAGGAAAGGTGAAGTGCTTATATGTAAGTGTGTCATCTTCAATTGGTATGAGGCCTTTTGGGGTGATGCCCAAGAGCAAAACCGTGCGGGCTCAGGCCCAAAGCGGACAATATCATACCATGTGGACAACTTCTTGATTTTGTGAATGTATTTCTTTTGCTAAAAGATGTATTCATAAATGAGTTATTTTTACTTTTCATTTGATAAGGGAAAAAAAAAAAAAAAAGCATTGATAAACAAAAATTGGTTGGTGTACAGTGTTATTCCTGGTTATTGGAGTTTATAATATTCATTGAAAAAGTTAAGAAAGAAATTTGATACAACCACCACCAAGCCTTTTCCCAATTACTTGGGTTCAAAAAGAGATTTGATATCTTTAATAAAATAAATCGTGCACCATAAATACTGATATAGAAATTGAGGCACTTTGCTTTTATGATGATAAACAGTTACATGTAAGAATTATCATAAATAGATTTTTTGACGGATAATTCTCCTTGCTAACAACAATGGGCGGTTGGATAAGACGTTGTCTTGGCTCCATCCTTGTGTTGATACTAACTCATTTTATTCCGTATTACTCTGCATTTCTTTGATGATTGAGCTGCATTATACATGTTCATGATAATTGATCTATCTCCATTATTAATATGCATAAAGGCTTTTATACACATGCGCTTGTTCTTTAGATTGAATGTTTGAAAAGATCTCGAATTAACAATAAATCCTGAATCAGGAAAATGTTAGAGAAAATTCTGGATTAACGGTATTTGTCACTCACAGGCCCTAATCTCTATAGATCCCGTGCGCGCTAGGGATGATTCTGTCATTGTGAAGAACATCCCTTACTACAAAGCCAAGAAGGCATTGGAGATGGAAGTGATGACTCTTGATCCTCCTCCACGACCAAATAATTGGGGGGTATGTGCTCCCTCTTTTCATTTGTTCTGCTGGTTTCTTTAATCTGGAGAGTGGTGCAATTAGCCATTATGCTTGGTTGGTCAGAATAACTATTGATTTTCCTGTAACGTTGTAATTAAATATCACCTTTATTTTCTAAAGATATATATTTTTTTGGTAATCTCTTAAGTTGGTTGGGAGGATGACTTGGCGTATTCACTGGGAGATTTGTGGAGGTTATTGTGATTGGCATACCTGAGCTTCATTAGATAGTTAATTTTGTTCTTTCTTTCCTTTTTTTTTTTTTTTTTTTTTTTTTTTAATAAAAAAAAACTTCTAAATAAATTAGCGAAAAATGCTGAAAATAAATGTCTGCTTGTGTTTGTGTGTCTGTTTGTATGTGCAGGGGTGGGTGTGCGTGTGCATACACATTCTTTTTTTAGAGTTCTAGTATTGCACCTGTTTTGAATAAATTTGAAGTTTTGGTGTTTTGTATGACAACAATAGCAATATAGAACAACCCCTTATTATTTTTATAATACGTCTCTTCACTTCTTTCGGCTATATATTTCCAGTTTAATGAAATGCAAGTTTGTAGACTACCCTACAGTGACAACAACAGCAATATAGAACAACCTTTTTTTTATGTTATAATATGTTCTGTTCACTTCTTTTGGCTATATATTTCTTGTTTAAGGAAATGCAAGTTTGTAGACTACCTACAGCTTGCCTCAATACTTTGTTATAGTTCTGTCGAAGTAATATTGCATGCGAGCATGAACTTTGTGTACTGTGTACACGAGTAAAGTGGCTTCTCTATTCTCTTTGAAATGGTTAACAATTTGACTGCTGAGCATCTGCAGGAAGTAATATTGCACATGAGCATGAACTTTGTGTACTGTGTACATGAGTAAAGTGGCTTCTTCTGTTATCTTTGAAATGGTTAACAATTTGACTTCTCAGCATGTGCAGGAGCTGAACCTTCCCCTGAATGCATCATCTTGGAGTAAAGAAGACCTCAAAAATCCCAAAAAGTTATATGAGATGACAGTTCTTCTTAATGCCCAAAGAGAAATTGCGGATAAAATCTTGGATGCTCAGTGGGAAACAAAGTGGCGTCAGGAGAAGGTTGGTAATTTTTTTATTGGTAATTTTTATTCACAGTTAGGCATCACGTTATTAATTTATTATACTTGTGGAGCATAATATAATTTATATACCAGTTTCATGGCATCCTGAGAAAAGAACAGCACTGAATTTTCATCCTAATATTTCTTTATTTTCTTTCCCTGAAAGATGATGCAAGGGTATGTATTACAATTATCAACTATTATGGATAATATGGACATATTTTTACTAAATTAAAAATCTGGAACAAACTAACTGATTAAGACCGTTGAACTTTTTTGGAAATAGTTGGGAATGCATTAAATTTTGTAACATCCTAATTGCTTGCTAGAATGGTTTAGGATAAAAGAATATTCCATTTTGACCTGGAGGTCACGGGTTCAAAACCGGATATAGCCTCTCCATGTGGAGGTAAAGCTGCATACATCTAACCTTCCCAGACCCTGCAATGGCGGGAGCCTCGCGCACTGGACTAGCCCTTACTTAGTATTCCGTTATTTTGTAAAACTGGCAAGGCATCCCTGCATTGCCACCATAAATGCCATCATCATTGCTGGAACTTCCTTGATTACTACATCACCACAACATCTTCTTATGGTTCTTATTTTGCCTTCAGGCTTCAGCTCAGTCTGACTACAAATTGATTTCTTCTATATTTATCTTTCTTTTGCTTTCTGTTTCTCATCTCCTTTCTTTCCCTCAGATTTTATTTATTTAAGTCCTTTGTTGTGTTTGATGTTCAGAGTTACTTATATTTTGATTTTAAAATGATGCTTCCATTGATTTCAGCTGTCACTAACCCACGCTAGGTGGCTGGGGAAAGTTTATAGTGTTACCAGTAAATTGTGGCTCGGTTGCGACCTAATGGTGCTCTATTGACCTTCGACTAAGAGTTCAGTAATTTGAGCAATTAAGATGGAACAGGATTAGGTTCTTTTGAATTTAGCGTTTGTTGTTCTTATAGAAGTAGCCAGATCATCCAAAGCATAAACAGAATCACCTTTGTTCCAAAGGTTTAGCGAGTTCCTTTTTTTTTTCAAAGGCCTCACTTTTCATGGGTACCAAAAAATTAGTAGTTATTGTTAGAATATTTTGGGTCATTATGTAATTACATATAGTTGGTAGCGTCATTGTGTAATTAGCTGAGTCTTGTATCTTTATATAAGCCACTGTAGTAGGCTTAGGGTTTGATATATATGAAATACACATTGTGTAGCCACCATGTTCTCTCTCTCTCTCTAGTTTGAACATGGTATCAGAGCGGTACGAAACAATGGGAAAACTAAGATTGTGGTTGTGATTGCATCTATGGTGTTCTTCTACAAATCGAGATCGAAGTCAATTCTGTTCTTCGCGAAAGGTTTGGCCGTCGTTCTGTTCGAGCTGGAGGTTTGAAGTTGTCGTGGTGTTATGGTTTCAGCGCTTCTTGTCTGTCGTTCTCAGATTTGAAGCCCTTCGCTTTGTAGGCCGAGGCTGCCTTGGCTGTCGCAAGTTGCAGAGGTTCCATCATCGCGAACCCTCTCTGCTTGGTTGTTAAATCGCCGTTTGTGTTGGGTTGCCGTCGTCACCGCTACAGAGGTTGCCTTGATTCTTCATTGCGAACCTTGGGTGATTGGAGTTTATGGTCGGTGGCGTAGATCTGGTTCTTGTCGGCGCTGATTGTGAAGGAGAAGGGTGGTGTTTGGCTGCAGGCGTGAAGTTATCCCAACCTCGGATTTCTAAAACCGGAATAGCAGAGAACTGGTTTTGATTTGGCCCGTTTGCCCAGATCCGGCCCGTCTGCCCAGATCCGGATTCAGTTTTTTTTTTTTCCCAGGTTCAGTTTTCTTCTCTCTTTTTTTTTTTCTCCATGGTTGCCGGTTCAGACTTGTTTTCTTCTGCTTCTTTCAATCCTCCCATGACTTTTGTAAAGCTCAATGGCAAGAACTATATTTTATGGGCCAAGTCCGTAGCTATTTTTCTGAAAGCCAAAGGCTTTGGCTCTCATTTGGTTAAGGATAAGCCTAAATACAGTGATGCAGATTTCAGTTCATGGAACCAAAGGGATGCTCAGATCATTTCCTTAATGCTGAATTGTATTGAACAAGATATCAGCTCCCACCTGTTGTATTTGGATACTGCCAAGGAGATATGGAATCGCCTCCAACAGCTACATTCAGGTACTGGTAATATCACCAGAATATATGAGGTGTGCAGACAATTCTTTGACCTCCGGCAAGGTACTAATAGTCTTGCAGAATACTTCTCCCAGTCAATGGGAATTTGTGAAGAAATGAACTTGTATCAGCCTATCACCTCTGATGTGAAGAGCATACAACAACAACGTGAGGATTTTAATGTTGTTCGGTTTCTCACGGGGTTGTCACCTGAATATGAATCAGTTCGTGCACAGATTTTAGGTAGCCCTACACTTCCCTCTCTTCCTGATATGTTCTCCAGACTCCAGCGTGCTACTTTATCTAGTGGCGCTTCCGGGAGTGCTTCAAGTGGTGTCACTGCTCCTCCTAGCAGTGAACGTTCTGCATTAGTTGTGAACCAGGGTGGTTATCAGCCTTCTCGTGGCAGTGGCAGTCGGTTTACTCGTGGTCGTGGTCGTGGTCGTGGTCGTGGCAGAGGCAGAGGTAGAGACTCAAAACTCTGCAATCACTGTGGTCTTTCTAGTCACACTGTCAATTACTGTTGGGATCTTCATGGGAAACCACCACCTTCTTCCTATGCGCATCAAGTAACCTCTAATAAGGGGATTTTTCTTTCTCTGCCACACCAAGTGCTCCACAAGTGGCTGCTCCACAAGTGGCTATTGAGCCTGTTATGGTCACCATGACAGTTTCCTGCGATGAGTATGCTCAGTTTATGTCTCAACAACGGCCTTCCACCTCATCTTCCATGGTTTCCTTTGCCCAATCAGGTAGTGCACCTGTATGTCTCTTATTCTCTCGTCAGAGTCCCTGGATTCTTGACTCTGGCGCATCCGATCACATGACTGGTAGTTCTCATTCTTATCTGATTTTTAGTCTGTTCCTTCATCACAAAGTATTACTCTTGCTAATGGCTCCTCCACTAAAGTTTTGGGTGTGGGAACCACCCAACTCACCTCTTCTATGTCCCTTTCCTTTGTATTATTTATTCATCAATTCCTTTTTAATTTGATGTCCATTAGTCAAATTACTAAATCTTTTAATTTCTCCGTTACATTTTAACCCTCCTGATGTATTTTTCAGGATCTCAAGACGATGAAGAAGATTGGTACGGGACATGAAGTAGGTGGCTTGTATTACTTTGATCTTGGACCATCTCCCACGGCTCTTCAATCATCTTTGCCTCCTTTCCAGTGGCACTGTCGTCTTAGCCACTCATCCTTATCAGTTTTGCAGCGTCAAGTCCCCAGTCTTAGTCTTAGTCGTGTTGAGTCCATGCCTTGTGAAGCATGTCAGTTTAGTAAGCATTGTCGTGTATCTTTAAAACCGAGAGCTACCAATCGTGTTGCTAGTCCTTTTCAGTTAATTCATTCAGATGTATGGGGCCCAATAAAACATATTTCTCTTAATGGATTTCGTTATTTTGTGACTTTTGTGGATGATCATTCTTGTATGACTTGGTTGTTTTTAATGAAAAATCGTTCCGAGTTATTCTCTATTTTTCAAATATTTCGCAAAGAAATAAAAACTCAATTTGGATGTTCCATTAAAGTTTTACGTTCTGACAATGCCAAAGAATATTTCTTGGACCCGTTTGAGACTTATTTTCATGCTCAATCATCTTGTACTTATACTCCTCAACAAAATAGAGTAGCTGAACGTAAAAATCGTCATCTCCTCGAATTATGTCATGCCCTTTTATTCCATATGCATGTTCCCAAACGTTTTTGGAGTGATGCTGTTCTTACAGCCTGTCATCTTATTAATCGGATGCCTTCGTCAGTGTTAAAAGGGAAGTCTCCTCATTCTGTTCTATTTCCCGACTCCGCATTGTTTAATCTTACTCCTCGGGTCTTTGGATGTGTGTGTTATGTCCATAACCTTGGGCCCAGTCTTGACAAACTCGACCCCCGTGCCACTAAGTGTGTTTCTTGGGTATTCTTGCACTCAGAAGGGTTATCGTTGCTACAGTCCTCATTTTCAGCGCTATTTCACTAGTGCTGATGTCTCCTTTTCTGAGTCTCTCCCATTTTTTTTCTGATTCTATTACCCCTCTCGATATCACTCTAGAGCCACCTATGCCAACGGTTTCCTCTCTTGTTCCTGCTCCCACACCTCCTCGCTCTGTTGTCCCCTTGCAGGTTTATACTCAACGACCTCGACCGCCTACTTTGCTCCCTTTATCTCCTTCAGAGTCTTCGGATTCGACGCCATCTACTTTGCCTGATGATTTGCCTATTGCTCTCCGTAAGGGTACTCGGTCGTGTGTTACTGCACATCCCATTTCTAACTTTGTCTCCTACCATAATGTTTCCTTCTCTTTATCTTGTTTTTTATCCAAAATGTCTGCTACGTTTGTTCCCAAGACTTTGCAAGATGCTCTTTCTAATTCGGATTGGCGCAGCGCCATGGTAAATGAAATGGATGCCCTGCACCGTAATCGGACTTGGGATCTTGTTCCCTTACCTCCGGGCTCCAAAACGGTTGGTTATAAGTGGGTCTGTACTGTTAAATACCTTCACGATGGGTCTACTAAGCGGTTGAAGGCTTGTCTGGTGGCAAAAGGGTACACTCAGACTTATGGTATGGACTACGATGAGACCTTTTCTCCTGTTGCTAAGATTTCTTCTATTCGGGTACTTATTTCCATTGTTGCCAATTGTCACTGGCCTTTGTTTCAATTGGATGTCAAGAATGCCTTCTTGCATGGTGACTTAGTTGAAGAAATTTATATGGAGTAACCACCTGGGTTTGTTGCTCAGGGGGAGTATTGTCACACTGTTTGTCGCCTTAAAAAGGCTCTGTGTGGATTGAAACAATCTCCACGGGCTTGGTTTGGAAAATTCTCTGAGGCGGCATTAGAATTTGGTCTTAACAGATGCCAGACCGATCATTCGGTATTTCACCCGCGCACTAAAGCTGGTTTCATTTTTCTTGTGGTGTATGTAGATGATATTGTGATCACGGGTGATGATTCTGAGTTGAAGTTGTTTCTGGAAAATCGATTCCATACTAAAGACTTGGGTAAACTTAGGTATTTCTTGGGTATTGAAGTTGCTAGATCCAAGAAGGGTATAAGTTTATCTCAACGCAAATATGTGTTGAACTTGTTAGAAGAAACAGGTATGTTGGGTGGTCGTCCAGTTGATGCTCCTATAGATTCAAATACAAAACTTGTGTCTGATGAGGGTGATCTATTTAATGACCCGGGCAGATTTCGTCGCTTTGTTGGGAAATTAATTTATCTCACTATCACTCGACCTGATATTTCATATGCAGTTAGTGTTGTAAGTCAGTTCATGGGAGCTCCTAGAATGCCACATTGGGTTGCTGTTCTTCGGATTATCCGATATCTCAAGCAAGCTCCAGGTTTTGGGTTACTATATAAATCAAATGGTCATCTCAGGGTGGAAGGTTTTTCAGATGCTGATTGGGCTGGTTCTCCTTCAGACATGCGATCTACTATAGGCTATTGCACATTTGTAGGAGGAAATCTTGTTACATGGAAAAGTAAAAAGCAAACGGTGGTAGCTCGATCTAGTGCTGAAGCTGAGTACAGGGCAATGGCCTATACAACTAGTGAGTTGACTTGGATACAACATTTTCTAAAAGAACTTGGGTTGACAGTTGAAACTCCTACTCCATTGTTCTGTGATAATCAAGTAGCTGTTCACATTGCATCAAATCCTGTGTTTCATGAGAGGACCAAACATATTGAAGTTGATTGTCACTTCATTCGAGGAAAAATATTAAGTGGGAGCATCTCTACTCCATTTGTAAAGTCTGAAGATTAATTAGCTAATATGTTTACCAAAGTATTGGGTCATAATCGATTAAGGACTATCTGTTTCAAGCTGGGATTATTTGATATCTAATCTCCAGCTTGAAGTGGAGTGTTAGAATATTTTGGGTCATTATGTAATTACATATAGTTGGTAGGGTCATTGTTTAATTATCTTTATATAAGCCACTGTAGTAGGCTTAGGGTTTGATATATATGAAGTACACGTTGTGTAGCCACCATGTTCTCTCTCTCTCTCTAGTTTGAACAGTTATCAAAACTCATTAAGTAGACTATATGAAAAATGTTGATACCCACATGAACTCATGACCTGCATATTCTTTCCTGCATTTATGGACAAATTTGTGCAAATATTGCTTGTTTATTTGATACATCTATTTTATGAGTTGTCATGAATGGTCAAATCTCTGATCCATTTTGATTTTCAGTTGAATGAAATGTTGGAAGAGAAGGTGCAGCCCTATATCAAGAATATTGACAATGGAGTCCTTTCTCAGCCTATACTGATACAATCCCAAAAGAATCAGGATGAGAAGGTTTTGTTATGTTCTTCCCTTTGCCTCTTTCGTATTACATACTTTGTTTATTATGGAATTAAATTGAATAGACTTTCAAAACTACTTAACAAAGGATCCCCTAATTTTTGGTCCATGACATGGTTTTATGATTTTTATATTGATTATTTATGTCATTTCTACCATGTTATCGAACTTCTGTTTGGTGCCCAAGAAAAGTATATCCAAAATAAATGAGATTGACCTTATCACTACTGTGATTACAGCACAAAATAATGGACAATATCAATTACAAACTTCTTCAAAATGCAAACGTGGTTAAAAATTTGGTTTCTTTTGTTTCGTCGTAGCATAGATTTTTATTTAAATCCGTCGTGTATATGTGGGTTGCACTCCCTTTTGGCTCTTTGGTGATGTTCCTCTTAATTATTAAAAAGAAAAATGTAATAAGTGGTTAATTTTTAGAATTTCACTTCCCTCTCAGTGGTTGGGTTTATTTTTCGCTTTATTATTACATAATCTGGAGGATTCAGAGAGTTAGAGGACTTGAAGAAAGTCACGGCTTCGTTGCTGCAGCTAAAATTCTTGTATAAAGCTTGAATATGGAGAATGAGAGTCCTATAATGAACCTGTAGTTTTGGTTAATGAAATTTGTAGTTTGGACTTTGGCTGACACCTGATTCGTCCGAGCTTTTATGCTAGCCATGAAGCCCTTGGAGTTTAGCTGTCAATAATGAAGTTTGTTTATGGATCATTAGCACACATCATGGGTACATGATGTATTCATCTATCCTGCCTCGTATCTGTGCAATTTAATTTTTTGGGTCTTGCAATACTGGGGTGAATTACTTTTCATTATGGTAATATGACTTGAAATCATATCCAGTTTTGACAGTGATTGGAATCTAATAATATTTGCAACTTTTTGATATATTTGCTGCAGAGGACTCGGCGGCGAAGATGGTGGTTATTTTGATGATTCCAGAGCTATACGCTATCAGCAGAAACTGTCTCTTGACTTTGCCATGTCAATGTTCTTCATTTGGAGACTTACTGCTCTCTGGATCTTTCTTCAAAGAGCTTGCCTCTTGATGGGTTGTTCAATCTCCTTTTTTCTTCATTTTTTTAAGTGATCACTGTTATCTTTACTATTTGGTGAAATGTATTTTTTTTTAACATTATCAGTACCAGTAGCATTTTTGTTAACATTATAAAAAATGGATTTCCATTTTTTAAACATTATTCAATTTCCTTTTTTAAACATTTGTTAAAGTGATCGCTGTTATCTTTCCTATTTGGTCCAATGGAATTTGGTCATGACCAAAACCTGTTTCTCTATATGTTTGTTTGTGTGTGTGTGTGTGTATATATATATGTATGTATGGAAAAAGAAGTCGGATTTGCAAGATTTTATCCAACTTTAATTAGCAATCACGACAAGTTAAAAAAATAAAGCACTCTATGGAACATATTGTTGATGTTTTATTTCCATCCATTTTCTCGGTAACCAAAGAGAAAATAACATAACATGCAATTAATGAAACCATATATATGTTGAACCATACACATGTTGTCTTGTCCTAAGTTCTAAAATTTAATTTAAAAACAGGAAAAAAGAGAGAACATTCCAAATCTATAGAAACAAGATCGATCTTGTTTCACCCACATTACATAATACATATATGTATGTATATATATAGAACGAATGGTGATATATATAATACCATATTGGTTGTGCCAAGCATTTTGGTGGTGGGCACTAGCTAGGCGGTGTACCTTGCACAATTAGTAATGTAGGAGCAACCACGAGTGTAAGGGTTAGCCCTTCCACGTTGGTTGCAATTGTAGTAAGAACGGCCCCGGCGGCTGCATGGGATGGTGTTGGCCCTGAGTGCATCGTAGCTGATGAATGTCGCCCGAGCCAGCACACGTCGTGCTGCCTCGGAGCCCATCATCATCTCCTCCACCGGGTAGATGAGATCTCCCGCGAGTTGATATTTGTCCCAGCGCGTTGCACCGGACAAACGGGCAAAGCCCCATTTGGATTCGCTGAGTAGCTTGGACTCGGCCACTATGGCCAAGGCCAAGACGAGGATGAGGACGACCAGTCGGAGTCTAATTGTGATCATTTGGAATAAACGAGAATGAAGAGAGCTGAGGAGGGTTGGTGATGAAGTTTAGGGGGTGAGAAAGGGTGGTGAGTGCTGTTTTCTTGGCCTCTCCTTATGGTTGTGTGTGTTTGTTGTTATTGTTGTTGTTGTGGTTGTGGTGTGTTTATGGTGTAACGTGATTTACGTGTGTTCAATGTAAAATGTGATGTGAAATATTTGTTTTTTGTTAGGTCTTTGTTTTCTTTTTTTTAGGTATTTTACGACATTCATTTATTCGATTTACCAGTATTGATTTGGTTTGGTTTATTTATTTATTTTTAATACTCTCTCTCTAGTATATATAGTTCGTATAATATTTCTTTAGGTTTATATCTCGACTTTGATACTTGGACTAGTTTTCTCTAAAAAAAAAAAAATTCAACTTCCCACGTGTAAAAAAAATCATAAATTAATTAAATAAATTTCGTTTTATTTTTTATAATTAATGATGTTATATATATAATATATATATATATATATATATATATTTTCCTGACAAAAAAGATGTGATGAATTAGATGACCAAGTGTACGTACATAGTCGATCTATGTTATCAGCCGGTGAGTCGGTGTAGTTTGTTCCTATCTTTGACTGTTCCCAAAAAGAAAATAAGACTGCTCATTTTATGAGTAATTTGCCTAATTAAGTCTTTTTTTTTTTTTTTTTCCTTTATTTTGTGCTCTTTGATCCCCTAGCTTGATCACTTGAAGACATAATATTGAAATATTAAATTAGGGTTAAAACTTGTTTTATGTGTATAAATTATATACATATAACATAATATATATACACACACAAAAGATCATTTATGTACAGAAATATATAGATATATACACGCTGGTTATATAAACACCACCATCACTCGCTTTCGAAGTAGGACTCATCCCCTCCAAGAACGGATTTGGACGTATAAGGTGGATTAACAATTGTGATTTATCGTCTTTTTAATAAGGTGGGTCCTACTACATCTCCATCAGTGTAGTTAGAGTCTGAACGTAGAAAACTAATAGCTACGTGCTACATTAGGCATTGACGACAATGAGTCTATGACTCCATCATTTTAATTTTAATTTTAATTTTTTCTTTGTCTTAAGTTTAATTTAAAATGAAAGTAGAACACCCAAATACATCAAGATTATTACACTGATGGATGATATAAAACTAAAATTTATTTCTTTCATCCCAATATACTGGTTCATATTTCTATTTTGAGATGTTTAAAAAATATGTCTCATTTTAAAATTAAATATACTAATTTTTATAACATTTTTAAATTATTATTTTAACTAAATAAATGCATTAATTAAAAAAAATTATTTTATCTTTTAATAATAAGAACGTATTTAAAACTCACTCTTATCAATATAATAAAAAATTATTAAAATTCTACCACCATAAAAAAAAAAAATTGAATTTCCCTGAACATATATTTTTAAATAAAGGAAGTATTATACAATTTGTCACGTTAAAAGAAAATTCAGAAACAATATACCTACATTAATTTTAAAAAGAGAGAACTTGAAGAAAACTCTTGATGCTGTGGAGATATTTAAGAGGAGTGTGTGTCATATATAAACTGCCGACACAAGATATTAAGATTAAGATTGACTCTGTGGTGCAATGTGCAAAGTCTTGTACAAGAAGCTCAACGTGGAGGACATGACGTTGACAAGGAGTGTTTTGCTGTTAAGTTCCTTCCCGTGTTTCCTTTGCTACGTGGCACTGTCCCTCCTAGATGTGACGATGAAGTGCCACATCTGATTGTCCCACGTGACGTGAGATGTTTTGGACATACATTGTACTTTTTCTTTCATTTATAGTGTCTACCAAATTCAATGTTACCCTATCCAAATTTTTGCTCTATTTTGGTGCATATCTAGGGCAAATAATAGTTTTTCCACATTATAAACCCAACTCTTCTTTTTATTTATTTATTTATTATATTTTTTTCCACAAACCGAGAAATATATATATCAACCAAGAAAAGATGTAAAACAATCAAGAAAAAGAGCGTATAGTAACCATGAGGGTCAAACGTTCCATTCTGCATCACTACACTCGACTTCAAGAGTCTTCTTGCTCAATAAATGAGCGACACTATTTCCCAAACGAGGAACCCACACAAGACACAAGGGACAAACCCATACATTCCCGGAGAAGAAGATGAACATCATTGAAGATAACTAACTGGGTTGCCTCAGAAACCTTCAACTACATAACCTGTTGGCAATCCCTTTCAATAATCACACCACAGCAACCCCAGCGCTTGAAAAACAACAAAGTCACCCGACCAACATTATCAAGAAACACCGAAGCAACCTTAATTGGCTGGCCAGATGGTTGAGAAGGATTAAGCCACCCCACACAAATGACGAGACCTGTTAAAAGTGGCATCAAAATTCAGCTTAAAAAAACCCAAAGTTGGAACAGCCCATCGCCCCAGATGGCCAGGAAGAGGAACTTTAGGACAAGTAAGTAAACGATGTTGGCGAGACATTTCCAAGAATTCGCTAAAGGCAGTGAAAGTTTGCTGAGAAGTTACAAACGAATCCCACCGTTTGCGATTAAACACCAGATCATTCCGGCATTTCCAAATGGTCCAACAAATAAACGCCGCTAAACTAAAACAATCCGAAGGAGTGTCACGCTGTACCTAACCGTCCACCAACCCAGCCCACGCTTTAGCTAGAACGACGACTGCGCATAAAAAAAATCCAGTTGAAGAGGGCTAAGTTTCCACCCCTTACACGCAAAAGGGCATGTACAAAGGAGGTGATCAATAATATCAACCTTAGCTTTGTATAAAGGACAGGCGGAGAAGTCAGAAGCTTTACGAATAAAAAGAAGGTGGTTGATAGGGAGACGATCATGAAGGCTTTGCCACAAAAACAGAATAATTTTACAATGCATCTTAATTTTCCACACACTACGTCATAGAACGCCATGACCTGCATCAAAACTACACCCATCATCTGAAGCAGGAACAGACTCAGTTGGAAGGAGAGATAGCGCAACTTGATACGCATTGTTAACCGAAAACTGACCATCATGAGAAGGCCTCCACACTTTACTGTCCGAGTCACCCATAAAACTGAGAGGGATTTGTAAAATAAGAGCTTTGTCCCATTGGTTAAGGAAACGGTTAAGGAACGCCACATCCCAAGTATGCAAAGATGGATTAATTAACGCCGCCACTGAAAAGAAGTCGACACTAAGCCGAGATGATATAACAAAAGGATGAGAAGGGGTCAAGAAACCAATTATCCGTCCAACAATTAACCCGTAAACCATCCCCAATACACCATTTCAAACCTTTTTTAACCACCTCCTTAGCGGACATAATACTTTTTCAGACACCCGATGTTCGGGACCGAAGTGGCGCTTCCACGAAACTGCAGTTCTTAAAGTACCGCTATTTGAAAGATTTAAAAAGTAGGGACTCATCACCCACCTCCATACGCCTGGCTAACTTAGCAAGAAGCGCCAAGTTGAAGGCCTTAACTTTTTTAAACCCAATACCTCCCTGATTTTTAGGCTTGCAAAGAGTGTCCCAACTTATCCACTTAATCTTGGAAGATTTCGCCACCCCACTCCACCAAAAATTAATAAATAAGCTTGAAAGGGCCAAACAATTCTACTTTGGAAGTTTGAAACACTACATAGAAAAAATGGGTAAAGATTGGAGGACCGCTTTCACCAAAACCTCCCGACCCGCTTTAGAGACTAAGGAACCTTTAAGAGCTGTAGTCTTTGCCGTGACTCATTCCAAAATATAAGAAAGAGCCGCACTTTTGACCGACCCAAAAAAGAAGGGAGCCCTAAATATCGGTTATGCCAGTCAACAGAATAAATACCCAACACTTGTCTGCAGAAAACTTTCTAGGGCAAAAGAGTATTCGGAGAAAAATAAATGCATGATTTGTCAAAATTAATAAGTTGACCAGTTAAAGTGGCATAACGGTCAAGTAGAACTTTGATATGAGACACCTTTGGCTTTTTGGCCCTACAGAACAACAGAGCATCATTGTCAAAAAGCAGGTGAGAAACAGAAGGAAAACCACGACTTATTTTCAAACCCCCCAGCTGTTTGGAACGAACAAACTCATTGAATAAAAGAGATAGGCCCTCCGTATAGAATAAGAAAAGGTAAGGAGATATTAGGTTGCCCTGATGAAGACCTCGGAAAGG